CCAAAGCCCCAGTAGATAGTTGTATGTCATAGGTTCACATCCTTCTAGTTGCTGTACGTGGGACTCGGCCTCGCGTTGGACGGAGAAGTGGTGCCTCGGGGCGTGCCCGGGATCCGAACCCGGGCCGCCAGCATCAGAGCGCACGCACTTAACCGCTAAGCCACGGAGCCGGCCCTCAGGTTGAGTTCTGATTAGCTTGGAGCAGAGGTTGGCAAACTTTTTCTGTCAAGGGCCAGACAGTAAATATTTGAGGCTTTGTGAGCCGTGTGGTCTCTGTTGCAACTATTCAGCTCTGCTGTTGTGGTGTGAGCGGCCACAGACAGTATGTACGCCAATAGAACTTTACGTACTGAAGTAGGTGGCGGACCAGATTTGGCATGTGAATTGTAGTTTGCCATACCCCTGGCTGAGAGCATAGTGACGTCTAAAATTTTTTTTGGCCAAAATTACTTAAAAACGTTTTTCCAAAATGTTTTCCAAAATCATTTAGAAGCAGGGACCTGGGGTTTGGAGGAGCAAAGGGAGACTGAGTGAGCAGCATGGCAGACGGAGAGTCTTTGCAGGTAGCCTGAGGGAAGTGGAGGGAAGCTGGAATGGGACATACTCAGTCCTTCATTTAGCCTCCTACTCCTGTAGGGGGAAGAGACCTAAAGCTGGTGAGAGAGGCTGACTCTGTGTCCGGCAAGAGCACTTCCGCTCTGGCCTGCTGTGCCCTGGCCTGTATGGTAGGAAGAGCTGAGGCTTGGCGTGTAAGCACGTGTGCTCAGGAGGGTTGGTAGGAATGAAGCAGCCCTGGAGTTTTGTCGTTAGGGCCTAAGATGTCCTGCCTCTCTGCAGCCACAGGGGGAAGATTTGGCAGGCTCTGCTAACTGGGCACCCTGTATTATTATTAAATGTATACATTTCTATTTACGTAGCCGAGTGTGTTCCCTTTTTAAATCGGGCTCACATAATTTTTTTTCACATGACCTTGCCAGGTCTCCTCCATCCTGTACCCTTGCTGTTGATTTTTTTAAATGAAACATGGGACTTGACGCTTGTCTATGTTGGGTGTCATGAGTGATTGTGGCTCATATTGTTGGTGGAGTAATTTTGAATCTGAATTCTGTCCCTGGCTCTTGTCTCAGGCATTGGCGATAGTATCAACTGAAGAGGTCAAGGGTAGCCTCTCTAGAAGGTCTTGCTATTCAGCACACATTTCTTGGTTTTTGCTTTGTGCTGGACACCATGCCGTGTGCTGAGGATAAAGCACATCTGAATTCATTCAGTGGTCATTCTCTTCCAGCTCCTACTTCACCATCTTACCAAATAGAAATCATGACCGATTTTTCCCAGCTGTCGTGTCATTTGCTCTTCCTTTCTTGAATTTCTTTTTCCTCTGTGTTTCCCTAAGAGATGGGATGGAATCTGAGGTTTGCTGAGTGCCTGTTTCATGATTGGCACTTTTAGATGGACGGTGAATAGTATAGAAATTAATACTGATGGTCTTGTGATTTCAGTACTGGTGTCTCCTTTACAGACAAGGAACTTCAGGGCGGTGGCAGAAAGGTGCTTCCCCAGAGATTGTCCTCACTTCCACATGGCACCTTTGGGGGCCTTTAACTGGTTTCTCAGGGCTGCTTCTACTCTCTCTGGGCGGCTTTGCCCCACTGTGGGCACAGGAGTGTCCTTAATGCCCTGAAGCACCAAGACCGTGTGGTGTTCTTGGATCCTGAGAAGAACAGGAACTTGCAATCCAGAAATGAAAACCTTCCAGTGGGTCCTGTCGCTGCGCATGGAGTCCCTGGGCCAGCCCTCTGCATGAGCTCTCCCCAGTCCTGCTCTCTGCCCTGGGCTCTGAGCTTATCACCTCGTGGTGCTGAGCCGGCTTCCTTCCCACACTGGTCCAGGTTCAGCTCTTCTTCAGTAGCAGGCTGAGGGAGATGTGGAGTGAGGCCTGGGCATATGTGCTAGGAAAAGTCTCATGTGCTTCTGAGAGAATGATCCAGCTCTCACCCTCTCTTGGGTGGGGAAGTTGGGGTCCAGAAGGGGAAGGTGGGCTCTGCTTAGTGTTGTTTCTGTTGAGAGCACTCATTGGTAGTGCAGTCAGGCGGGGGATCCTGAGAATAAGGCTTCTGGTCCAGGCTGACCAGGCAGGCAGAGGACAGTTCAGGAAGGAGGGGAAGGGTGTGATGTGTGATTAGGGAGTTGCTAGATTTTGAGAGCCAAGGTCAGACTCAGGCAGGATGAGGGGTCTGGGTTCCAGATAGGATTTGCCACTGCCCTTGTGGCTGTATATTTCACAGGAAGCTCGCCTGGGCCAGAGCTATAAATGAGGAAAGTGGTGAAGAGACCACACGGGTTTTCAGGAGAGCTTGGCTCTGGGATTGGCACTGACTGGCCTGCGTTTACTTTATTCACATCCACACAGTGCCAGCCCTCTGGGGACTGGCTTCTGGGGTGAGGCCGTTTCTGAATTCCTGGCCTCTTTGTAGCCACTCCGGTGGTCTGGTTGTAAACACCTCTCTGCTTCTCGGAAGAGCGAAGCGGAGAGATGAGAACAAAGCGTGTAAATGGAACAGCGCTCTCACGAGTGTGTCACAGCGCCATGGTTTGCTCTTAAAGATGAGGAGCAGGGAACTGAAAGGTGACGGGAGCATGTTGGCCTCCCTCGCATGCTCTTCTGACACAGCGGGTGGCTTCCCATCCTGTTGCTACTCAGTGCATTAGTAGGTGGAACATGAACCACAGAGAAGGAGCACCTAGAGGTGTGTGGTCGTCACCCATCTGTGTGGACTGGGTGCCCCCAGACGTCCAAGCGTGCCTGCAGTCAGCGTACAAGTGCGCAGCACAGAGCGCGGCCCGCTTCTGTGTCCACGTCACCCATACCTTGGAAGGGTGCTGCTCTTTTTTAAATGTAAGAATTAATTTTACCTTGTTCCTCCTACCACCACCCTTTCCCCTGTGTGATTTTATTTTTTTAAAAAATAAACTTTTTTTAGAGCAGTTTTAGGTTCATAGCAAGATTGAGCATAAAGTACAGAAATTTCCCATATTCCCCTTGCCCCAGCACAGCCTCCCTCATTATCAACATCCCCACCGGGGGGTGCATTTGTTACACTTGATGAACCTAGATTGAACATCATAATCACCCAGAGCCCATAGTTTACGTTCAGTTCACTCTTGGTGGTGGTGTACATTCTGTGTGTTTGGACAAATGTATAATGGTTTGTATCCATC